TGAATCAAGCCATTTGGTTAAGGAAAATCCTTGATGACTTGAAGCTGAAACAGAACAAGGCTACTGCTATCATGTGTGACAACCAGTCTGCAGTAGCTATGGCCAAGAATCCTGTGCAACATGGACGCACAAAACACATAAAAATAAAGTTTCATGCAGTGAGAGAGGCTGAGCAAAATGGTGAAGTGAAACTTGTGCATTGCAGGAGTGAATTGCAAGTGGCTGACATTATGACCAAAGCTGTCTCCAAAGCCAAGTTTGAAGAATTCAGATTCAGACTTAGTGTTTCCAACCAACCATCAAGGAGGAGTGTTGAACGTTGATGCATGGCTAGAAATGTAGTAGTTTTGTTGAAGTCTTTTGAAAGTAAGTTAGCGGCAAAACCTGAACTGAAGTCTGCCAGGGGTGTATTTGATATGCTGCAAGTTTAGTTCATTTTGTAAAAGTGTGATACGCATTCCAAATTGTAAGGGATGTTCTGATGATGTAGTTGTTAGTTGACATTAAGTGTATGGCTTAGGATTAATTTAAGTTTTTATATGTCTGCAAAGTAGGTATAAGTCAGTGTAAAAACTTTGCTTTATCTGCTGTAACTAAAACTCATTTCAAAATGCAGAAAACGCAACTCTTCATCTTGTCCAGCACTTTTTCTTTTCTTTGTTAAACTCCAGCACAAGAACAGTAACAACTAAGATTAACAAACTCGGGTGGAATTGGAGATGACAGAGAATTGAAATCCATTACCAATCCAGAAAGACTGGTCAGGTTGAGAAGTTGATTTGCAGGAAGTTTACCGAAATCCTGCAGTTGGACAGCTCAAGTTTCTGGAGATTCGAGAGATATATTAAAGGTTCAGCCCATTTTGTTGACTGAGATGTCTTTTTAAGATCAACACCACTCAATTTAAGTTCTCTGAGATTATGCAACCCCAGTAAGAAATTCAAACTTGACAAAGAGAGATTCCCCCCTATAAGGTAACTATAATAAACACCAGATCTAACTTGAACTGTTGAAGACAAGTAAGGAGAAAGCGGCAAGTAGTCTGGCACCCGATAAGAACATGAAATATCTAGCCATCTAAGGGAGGAAGTAAGGTTGAAAAATTGGGTTGTGATGGAACCACTGAACATTGCATTTGAGAGATTCAGGTAACTTAGTCTAGTGAGATTGGCTAAACCAGTGGGAATGTTTGAGTACATGAAGTTGTTGAAGCTGAGGTCAAGATAGCTAAGATAGGTAAGGGAAAAAAGAGAAGAAGAAGGAACCATTAAGGGCAGTAGCTGTGGAATTGGAAATGGAAACAAGCTCCGAGTTCATATTAATTATGAACTTTTCCAAGTCTGGATTAGGGTTCCGGAGATCAATAGCAGCAACATGAAGTGATTCCAAACAATGAATTCCATTCCAAGTGCAGCAGTTTTGGCCATGCCATGAAAACAACCGATTTGAAGGGTTTGTAAGATGAGATTTGAAGCTTAACAATGCTGCCCTTTCATGATCATAGCAACATGTAATAAATGAAAATTTGAAGAGCAGAATTAACAATAAGGAAAAAAGGATAACAAGTTTAATGGTTCTGGTATGGCCTAGCTAATTGCAGCTGATTTAACATAAACTTAGCAATAACTACTTAATTTATAACCACAATTTGGCAACAGTTAAACATTTGAAATCAGATAAATTTTCAGAGACATCATTATATCTTAGCTAAGAAAATTTGACTTGGTGAAATCTGACTTCTGGGTGAGACATTATTATAATTTTCAATTCTATTTAGTTTTCTAAGTTGAAAGAATAATTACGGTTTTTTGAACATGGAAAATGCAGATTTATGACTTGAAATGACAGACGGCTTCTTAGCAACAGTCAACACCCACAATGCTACAATGTCTTTTCAAAGCATGTCATGGCTATATCTTACTACTCTCTCTTTCCTAAACAAAATTTTTGGTGGTGGTCAATTAAGGAACCATTAACACTGAAAATCAGTTATACAAATAAAAATATCAGCGGTATCCATCACTATTGTGACATAAGTATAGACAAATATTATCATTGAGAATTACGTTTATTTATTGAAAGTAATAAAACTCTTGACACGTTTAATATCAACAACAAAGCTAGCATAAATCTATTTTATACGCCAAAAAATGTAAACAGGGAATTTTGATTAGAGAAATAGAAAATTATCACCCTTTTGTTTGGGAAATTATCGCGCACCTCCTTGTGGTTAGCCTGAGGTCTGGAAAAATGTAACAAAAAAAAAAAAAAAAAAAAAAAGAAGCTAACCTTTTTCAATAATTAACAATCAACTAAAAATTCTTTTGTTCCCCTTTTGGGTTTTGTCATTTCAGCAGTTTATATCTTCTACCATGAGAAAAAATTAGACTAACTTAACTTACCTAACTCTTTACTATTCTTTCTTTGCATATGGTTTCTGTTCTCTAATTTACTTTGCTTCAATTTTCCTTAACAAATTAAAAAATTTGAAAATTTTCTTCTAAATCAACATCATTCAACACCCTAATATGCTATTACTCGACCTAAACAACGTAACCTGGATCAAAATCTTCTAATAATCTTCATAATCTGATGATTTTAAGTTATTAGTTGCCCAAAATTCCCAATGTGCACTAAATTGAATCAATTAGTTCAAAAACTATAATACAAAGAAAAACTTAAATGTGATGGTAAGGGAGTACCTGTACTGAGAAAACTGAAACCCAGCCCAAGATCGTTGCTGGTTCTCTCCATACAATCTGATTCGTGCTCAATTTCGTGCTGGAGAGCGTTTGACTGAGGATGAGAATGGACTTGGAAATGAGAGTTTTAACCGCGCTTTTATTTTAAAACTTATTTATTTATAATTTTTTTTTAAAAAGAAAAAATTAACAGCTGGCTTTTCGGTGAAATTTATTCAAGAAAATTCTAATTATTATTTGTCATAGATATTTATAGTTATATAGATTATATATATATTACGTGATTGACCAGGTGTTTTTGATCCAATTGGGCTACTTAAATAATTTAAAATAATATGTTGAAAAGTTTATAATTAAAAAATAATATTGGTTATATGGTATTTATTATAGATACCGTGATTTCATTAACATATCAATACATTAATTTAAAATATATGTATTTTATATTTATCAATAATTTAGAATAATATATGATATTATAGTCATGACAGGGGTTGTTCGTTCCCAGTATCTACACTTTTGGAAGGAATCGAAACGGAACGGAACGAGGTTCCTTGAATTTATGGTACCCTATAAAATTCATCTCCCCCCCCCCAAGTTTTTTAATAAAAAAAAACTCTTAAAAACTCACAAATACCCCACTTGGCACTTATTAACAAAATTAAAATGATAAATTTAAATTTCAAACTCCAAAATTAAAATAATCCATTGAAAATCACAAATTCAAAATTAAAATATTACAATAATCCGTTGAAAATCACAAATTCAAAATTATAAACTCCAAAACTAAACGATGAAATTACATAACATATAAAATTAGTAACATAACAATTAACAACATCCAAATAAAAAACTAACAAATCTCATGCTCCATGCTCTAAATGCTCGCCTCATTTGCATTAATTTCTACAAAACAAATACAAGAAAATTAATTAGTAAGTTCAAAATATTGAATAAATAATTGGAATAATTAACTAAATATGAATAAAAGATTGATATTATTTGTTACCTGTCATAACTTTTTGCATCCATCAATAATCCTCAGGGAACTTCAAAATTAAATCTTAACTCTTCCCAAAATAAGAGCATAATAAACTAATCTTCCCAAAATTAATCTTAACTTTCCAGGTCTAGAACAAAAAGAACAACCTGGAGCAAATGTAAAACAGGTTGTTGTTGATAATTCCTTCCGCTCCCGCAATAATATGTTTAAAGAGCGCAGTTCCTCCACCAATGAGTGTCCAACATCTATTAATATCCACAAAGTTAACTCCAATATTATTCACGGAATCAAAACAATCAAATGTGAAAATAAGAGGTTTTGAAGCATAATATATTTTTGTACAAAATACACCAACTGCATAGAATAATAGAGTATTGGGGTTTTGTGCACCACAAGAGAGCAAGAGAAATCAACAACACTTTTACGAATCATTAGGGAATTTCTATGTAAAATGTGTGCAACTGAACTATTTAGAATTAGATTAAAGCATAAATGAAGTTACCTAGATCTGTAGATCAAGTAAAATTCAAAAATACAATTAAAAGAAAGAATGGAATTACCTTAAGAAATAATGGTAGTGCTCTTTAGATTCAGGATCACTTTCACAAAACCAAGCAAATAAGGAAAAAAAAAAGCTGAAGTTTTTGTCTTAATCTAAGTGAGTGGACAGAGAGCAAGAGCAGACGAAGATCGTGAGAAAGGAAAGAAAATGAACTTTTTGCAAAGAAAAAAAGCTGAAGTTTTTACCTTAATCTGAAGTGAGTGGAGAGAGCAGCGAAGATCGTGAGAAGGGAAAAAAGAAAATGAATTTGTTTGCCCTAATATGAAGTTTTTATATGGCAGGTAAATTACTAACCCCCCCACTCTTTAATAACTTTATTTCAATCCCGGTTCTCGGTTCCGATTCGTTCTTGACTGTAGGAAGAACCGGAACATACAGTGTCCTTCAGTTTTTGGAACCAGAACACTACCTGTTGATGATCGTTTGGTAGGAACCAGAACCAAACACCATGTACAAGGTTCCAGTTCCAACGGTTCTTTTGAACACCCCTAGTCATGACCATAGTATATGCCATTTTCATCAATTCAGCTTGATAATTACTATTATGTTTATGACAAATGGTGTTACATTATATACAAAATTATACATAAATGATGGTTTAACTCTTTAATTGCCTATATTCATTCGTATTTATTGAATGATTTTTTATGTATACTTACCTATTTAATTTATATTACGTCACATAACTTATTAGTGGGCTTCTTTACTAACCAAAGAGTTTTTTAATCCTATAAACACTTTTGAATTTTATTTTGGTTGTTTGGTTACATTTCAAAAATGCTTATACGGTTATTAAAATTTTATAGGTTCTAAGAGAAGTTCAAAATTTGAACTTTCGATAAGCTCTTTTTGAGTTTATTAAATGTGAAATTTAAAAATATTTCTATTCAATCTTTTAAATTTCTTATATCTATTGTATATTAAAAACCTTTTTGATAAATTATATAGACAATCTTTTACAATTTCCTAGCAATAGCTATAGAATTTTCATAAAAGCTCTACTTTATAACATCTTCTTCCTTAAGCTCTACGAAGAAGCCTTATTAAACACACATATATAAGAGTTGTTATAGAGAATTATTGACTTATGTCGATAATTACATCATAATTGTCAGTTTCATTAAGCAGTTGTCACAGATTTTTAAACTCATCTTGTATTCATGCCATGGTACACCTTGTTTACACATTCTATGTTTCCCTCTTATGGACTAATTTTTCTCTCACGAAGGGTTTTCTTACCATAAAATTGATTCTTTTATGATCATGGCTATTTTAGGGATGGGCATTTGACCGGTCGGGATTCCCCTAAACAGTTGGGACTGAGTTGGGCTAGGGCCCAATAAAATTTCCCAACCTGGGATGGAGGTGGGCATGCCCCATCCTGCCTAGCCTGCATAAAATTATCACTTTTATATATTTTTTTTCACGTATAATTGATCAAATGTGTATAATCGTAAGAATATTGAGTGAAACTCATATACAAATGGGTAATAATAGAGAAAATGACTAAATTAATATAAAAAGCTAAATATGCATGTATAAAGTACTTGATATATATGTAAATAGTAAAAGTTTATATGTTATATATGAAAGTAATAACATATTTTTATTCAAATAACTGTAAAGTTAACTAATCATTTTTTTTTCACATAAAAGAGTGGACAATAATTTATGTTAGATTAAAGACTTTTTGTAAGTGACAAGTTTACACATATCAATGAGGCTTAATAAAACACTATTCCAATTTAAAAAAAAAAAAAAAAACCGCTTTTTTAAAGGTTGGAGATAATTGAGGCTAGTTCTAAAAGAGTTAAATGGGCTAAATGAAAAAAATGGGCTTGGGGTAATCTGCACTGAGATTCCTATAATGGGTAATGGGCTGTTGACAGTTATGCCAGTTGGGCGCGCGGGACGGGATGGGAGTCCACACATTCCCACGGGCTACTCTAGGGTTTTCAATTGAGACTTTATCCTTACAAAACCTTTTTATACCAGGAGACTCTGTTGGAGAACGAAAGTCAACCTTAAGTATATTATATACAGCATACGTGATCGCATAATTCATCAAATTTTCCTTAAAGGATGAGCTAGAAAAAATCAGACATAAACTAAAAAACACGGTTTCCTCACACCATTTCATTTTGCACGTACAAATAAGCAATGCCCAAATTTAGTAAGTAATCAAAGAAACAATCTTAATTGATATATCATTCATTCACAATTATTGAGTTGACTTTTTTAAACACTCATAGTTCATTTTGTATCACGTCACTTTGCATAAATTTTTTTGTCTATATTTGGAATAAATTAAGGTCATAATTGCATTTTCAACTAAGCAACTGCCCAAAAAGTCTATCAAACTATCCTTGGTACACCTCTTTTTTACAGATTTTATGCTTCCCTCTTATAGACATCTTAAATATAAATATTATTTCAACAAACCTTGATCTTATAATTCATTAATTTCTGCTTACAAAATGAGCCAGAAAAATTCAGACATAACATCAAAATTAGCGGTGGCAAAATATGGTAGGGTTGAAATCCTTCATGAAATTATGAGTAATACTATATGAATAAATTATTTATACAAACTCTTTCATACAAACTGATGTATTATTAAGTAAATGGATAAATTTATATATGAAATCACCTTAATAAATGATAATTAATATGGGTGAATGATGTAGCAATAAGAGAGTTGTACTATATCTTTTATATATATATATATATAGTTTGCACGTATGCCACCACTCTAAAATTGTTGGTTTATAATATGCTGTATGGTATCTCCATGATATTCTCAATTTTTTTCTATATGAATGTTGAAAAGTATGTAAATTTTGTCTATTTCTATGTATGCGACAACCACACTACATACACAATTATCATGGATGTGAGGCCAAAAAGAGCCTTTGTCAAACATTAATTACCTAGAATTAGAGCAAATCAATTATCTAAACTAAATCTTCATATGCTTCCAATTCCAATTAAGATGGGCTTAATTATTGACAGGCACGGCCCCTTAATTTAGATGAGCTTTTCATTTCTGGATCTTGGTCCAACGTGACCAGTACTTGGAGGTAAGGTTACATACATCCCCGGTAACACCAATGTAATAAAACTAAACGAGGGAAAAGCTTTTGTGTATCTGAAGCATGTATGATAAGTTGTTTTATTTCGAAAGACAAGTCGGTTCAAATGTCTCTGTGAGCAATATATGATATGTTTTAATAAGATGTTTATATGTATTATGTCTAAAAAATTAGGGCTGACGTATACTTACATCAGTGAGGACCAATCAGAGTTCATGAAGATATTGTGTTGCTTAAGCGCTGCCACGTTGTCCAAAGACAGAAGGAGTAAGATTGTCATCAGTTTGGCAGGTAAAGACCTAGCTAGTGAGTGGCTAGGAGTCACCCACCTGCCCAAGCCCTGTGCGATTTAATGATATCTTTCATGCAACTAGCCAATGGGAAGTAGGGTAGGAACTGTATCGCACATGCCCGTTGGCAGACTCGTAATCATTACCTAGAAACCTCTTACTATAAATAGAGAGCTCTCCTCTCATTTTTCGGGATTCTGATCGCTACTTGTGACCTAATTGTAATTCGCCAGGTACAGGATGACACTTCTCCTGAAGTGCACCTGATTCAGCATAGTACCGCAGCGGACATTCCTTCGAGCTCACAGCTCAACCCAGCTGTGATGGACTACCTGGAGAGATTCAATAATAATCTCCAAATAGTTAACCGAAAGTTAGACCGTTTGGATCAGGTTGTATCGCCCGAGTCCAACAAGGCGGTGCCATTGCCAAAAACATTTGTAGGTCGCACTAAAGCATGAAAACAGTGAAGGCCAGTGTCGTGCGCACTACAGCGCGTAAAGGCAAGGGAAAACAAGTGGCAGATAATGGGCCAAAGGGCTCCAAGGGACCAGCAAATACCGGTTGTGAAACAGGTGGAATACCTATGGCTTTGCGACTTGGTGATATGTCGTATCATGAACTATTGCACGTCACATCGCATAGGTACCCTCACAAGAGTGCAAGGTGGGGAAACCCCCAGCAACCGCGGGTCTGTTTTGACCACCGCGGAGGTCAGAATAACTCCTCGAACCATTCATTGCCTTCACATGGCTCCAATCAGCGTGTGTCAAGATATGCTGGAGCTTTCGGCCGAGGTGAGGAAAAGTCTAATCTGCGGTCTTTCCTCAACCGTAATCGTGAGTGTCCAACTCACGTTTGGAAAGCGATCCTTAGGTAGCTTCACTGCCTCAGATTGAAGAGTAACAGCAAGCTCTAGATTAGCTTAGAGCTCAACAAAAAAACATGTTGTTTCTAATCCTAATCCGTTTTGGTCCTAATCTGTTTTAGTCTTTGGTAATCATATGTTCTAGTTGATGTCTTTGTGTAGGAGAATTGGAAAGTTAAAGAGCTGTACTAGAAAGTCTTGTCAATGAACTGGATAACCCTTTTATTTTATTTTATTTGAATGTATAAACTGTTATTGCTTTCATTTTAAAATAAGTTTTAATATGTTAAAGTTTTCATAGTTTGTGCTTTGAAATGTTTGTTTCCTTTATAATTATCAGGTCTGAAGTAGCAGAACAAAGTGGGGAAGTGTCACAATCTGTTTCTGGTCCTGCCTTTATGAGGTTATTAATTTAAAAGAAATTTATTTTCTAAATGTAAGCAACTTTTTATCATGATGTTATTATTGTTCTCTTAAACATATCAGTCCATGAAATTAATATTGTTTCAATTCCAGGAAAAACTATGGCCATTCTGAGCTTCATGTGGAGAGACATTTAATGCCCCCTACACTAGCTGGTGGTAATGGTCCCACGGACTGGAATGAAGCCCTGGATCAGGGCCGGCCTCACCTGCCTAGGGCCCAAAAAATTGGGGGCCCAAATTTTTTATAAATTTATTTTTTGAATACCTAACAAAAATGAAAATGGTTTATAATTTTTTATCTAAGCCAAGGGACCCCAAAAAAAAAGCCATAAAAGTCTAAATTTATTATAAACTTTTTACATATATTCTCACCCAAAGTTTAACAAAATAGCAAGTTTGTACCTCTAGTTTTATATATTCTAGTTCATATCCCTAAATTAATACATTGAATCTCTTTTAACAATGGAAGACTAAAATAGTCATTTACATGTCTCAAATTACTCACCCCCAATTCAATCCCAAAATTTGACATTCACATAAATCATCTCCAGCCCTCTTCTGCCGCCAGTGGTTTGGAGTTGATTTCGGTCAATTTTGGTTCCGATCGATATTCTCACCAAAATCGACCGAAATCATCATTTTATCATTTTTCAACCTTGATAGCCCTCGATTTGACTAATTTTTGATGAATCTCGCAACCCAACTCCACACGACAGCCATTTCCAGCCTTTTTGGCATGTACCCGACATTGTTGGCCTTCCCGGACACCAACATCTTCCTCCCCTCAGCCCTCTCACCAAAACCCCTATCATACCTTATCCGTTTACTCTGCCAATCGCCGGCCATTGATACCTTTTGGGCCGTGACTTCTCAAGCTTTTCTTATCAATCTTGGCATTGGAAATCACCAATTTCACCACCCGTCACTTCTCTAACATCTACTCTCTAAAACCCCCCACCAACCTAACCTTGTTAGCCTGTCGATTGCTGTTCACCTCTTCTAGTGATTTTTCCAATTTCTCCAAGGCAAAAAAAAAAAAAAAAAAAAATGAAATAATTTTTTTAATATATGCTTATATTATTAGAGAGCCCCAAAGTAACTCCTGCCTAGGACCACAAATGTTCTAGAGACGGCCCTGTCTTGGATATTATTTCTTTCGGTTCACCAGTGCAGGTTTCCTACTTACCTTGTCTAATGTTGATTTGTTTTCATTCTTAGTGCAGTTTCTATTCATTTGCATTGAATATCAGTATTCTGAACCATGTCCAAGGTTGTCTAGCCACTAAGGGAAAAAAGCCTCTTATGTATGAGACTTGTGCACTATGATTCTTATTGCTACTCGTTATTTTCTTTATAAATATGGAGCAAGTAAAAGATCACTTAGAATGCCAAATACTCTTAAAATGTAAATCACTAAAACTCAAATTTCTACCGGGAATTATTTTTCAAATATTCTTGAAATAATCGATAATACCTATCTTTATGATATTGTCTCTGTGCATCTAAATCTACATGTGTAATGTTCTTAAATTTTAAGGTTTGATAAGTTAATTGTGGATAGGTGTCAATTGTTCTTTTAGAAATTGTGAATATTATGGGATCCACTTGCATCAAATTAGTCCTTCCTTTCTCTTTCTATTGTTGCTCCTCCGTAATTGAACTGTTAAATATAAAATCATTATGTTGTAATATGTGTTTTTTTTTTTTCTTTTGATAGGTAACCAAGACTTTTGACTTCAGTCTGACAGGAGCATCATCAAGGTCGTGTAAATATGTTCTTAACACATTTATGCAGGTATAATGTAATGAAAAATCTGTCTTTTTGTTTATGAGAATATTGTAAAAAGGACAGAATCTTTCAACTGAGGATACATAAATTCTTCTACTTAGTCTTCTTAGCTGTTAAACTCTGATTCATGGAATCATTTTGCTGCAACATACTAACTTTTTGAACTTTGTGCAGACATTTCAAAATAAAAGGCTTGCTCATGCTGTCCAGGAGAGTACTCTTGACAGTCTAATTACTGAGCTTCTACTTTGGCTTTTGGATGAATGGGTTCCTCATATGGATGATGGTAGCCAACTTTTGAAAGCTTTAAATGTGTTGATGCTTAAGATTCTGGTAAAAACTTATCTGAAATGATTACATTTCTATAATTTGATTGTATTTTTTGCTTAATTGACTTGGGCATTGTTCATACAGGATAATGCTGATCGAACGTCATCCTTTGCTGTCCTTATTAATCTCTTGCGTCCTTTAGATCCCTCAAGGTGGCCTTCACCTGCAACTAATGAGTCCTTTGCTGCCAGAAATCAGAGGTTTTCTGATCTGGTTGTAAAATGTCTCATCAAACTGACAAAGGTATCTTTCATTGTTGGTGCCTTTCTTGCTTTGCTTCCTGGGACTGTTTTGACGAACCAAAATTTTTGTTTAGTAGTATTTTTCCAATTTTAACAAATGGTTAAGCAGTTGTGGGACTGGAGAGAGGTCAGCATCCCTTGAGTGGTGCACTGCCACCATCTTCAATAATCTATATAACCAGAACTATCACACATGTCAATTGGTTGCACAAGTTGTCCTTACTAGGATAGCATGTAATTGAGATGATGGTTCAAATATTAAGGCTAATATGTGCACTTTTTTTTTGTAATCCTCATGATTGGAGAGACTTCTTAAGAAATTGTTATAATACAGTCGGATTACTGAAAAACTTTTGGAATGAAAACTATGGAGCATTAAGCGTTTTGAAAATTTTTTAACTGGTTTCTTAGTCAGCTTTGATTTTTCTGTGATTTGGCTGGATATGTGTCAAATTTTCTTCTCTACAGGTTCTTCAAAGTACTATATATGATGTCGATCTTGACCGCATTCTTCAAAGCATTCATGCATACCTGCAAGAATTGGGAATGGAAGAAATTAGAAGGTATATGTCTAACTGTCATCTGCTCCTTTTTATTTTGGGGAGGGGGGATTGAATGCTCTGTGTTGGTTTCCTGATCTCAGTGCTCGTATTTTCATTAACTGAAATCTTTACTGCCTTCCATTGTCTCATGAAATAATTTTTCAAATAGATCTGGAGCTGATGACAAACCATTGCGTATGGTGGAAACTGTTCTACATGAACTTGTTAAGCTCCAAGGAGCTGCAATCAAGGGCCACTTGTCAATGGTTCCTATAGACACGAAACCTCAGCCAATTATTCTTGCCTATATTAATCTTAATCTTGAGGTGGTAAAGTAATCAAACAATCATTTTATTGGTTTGATCTATATAAGATATTCTTTTTTGATCGACTCTTTTTTCTTCTCAATAATCTTTTCAGACTTTAGCGGCAGCAAGAATGTTGACATCAACTGGCCCTGTGGGTCAAACTCATTGGGGTGATTCAGCAGCCAACTGTTAGTGTTTATGTGCTGGAGATAACTAAGAAAAGAATGAGAGCATGATACGATTGAAGAAAAGTGTCTGAATTTTCTTAAGTTCAAAATGAGTTTACACCTCAACTAATAAAGCTGATATTACACTATTACACCAAACATGCAGACATATAATAACTTGATTTTAATCTGAAGCTACTGACTTAATACCAACTAAACAACAACTATGTAACACATCCCATATAATCCGGGACACATATCAAGCATTACAAAATAAGTATAACTTTGCAGTATTACAAATGGACCCCTGGNTATTATATATATATAAAGTGATTGACCAGGTTTTTGATCCAATTGGGGCTACTTAAATAATTTAAAATTAATATGTTGAAAAGTTTATAATTTAAAAAATAATATTTGTTTATATGGTATTATATTATAGATACCATGATTTCATTAATAATTATCAATCACATTAATTTACAAATATATGTATTTTATATTCATCAAGTAATTTCAGAATATATATATTATAGTCATGACCATAGTTAATTGCCATTTTTCATCAATTCAAAGCTTGATAATTACTATTATGTTTATTGACACATGGTGTTACATCATATACAAATTATTATACATAAATTGATGTGGTATAACTCTTTAATTGCCATATTATTCATCCGTATTTATTGAATTGATTTTTTACGTAGACTTACCTATTTAATTTATATTACGTCACATAGAACTTATTTGGTTGGGCTTCTTTACTAGCCAAAAGAGTTTTTTTAATCCTATAAACACTTTTGAATTTTATTTTGGTTGTTTGGTTGCATTTCAGAAATGCTTACACGGTCATTAAAAATTTTATAGCTTCTAAGAGAAGTTCAAAATTTGAACTTTTCGCATAAGCGTTTTTTGAGTTTATTAAAAATGTTGAAATTTAAAAAATATCTCTATTCAATCTTTTTAATTTCTCTTTATCTATTATTGTATATTAAAACCCTTTTTGATAAATTAATATTAGACAAATCTTTTTCATTTTCCTAGCCAAATAACTGACAAAATTTTCAAAAAAGCTCTACTTTAATAAACTCTTCTTCTTTCAGCTCTACTCAAAGAAGTCTTATTAAACAAACCATATATAAGAGTTTGTATGGAGAGTTATTGACTTATATCGATTAATCACAATCATAATTTTTAGTTTCATTAAGCAGTTGTCCACAGGTTTTTTAAACTCATCTTGTTTTCATGCCATGGTAACACCTTGTTTTACACATTCTATGCTTCTCTCATATGAACTAATTTTTATTTGGACAAAGGGTTTTCCTTACCAATAAAATTGATCTCTTTTATGATCATGGCTATTCTTAGGGATGGGCGTTTGACCGGCGGGGATTCCCCTAAACAGTCAAGGGTTGAGCTGGGCATGAAATTTCCCAACCCTGGGACAGAGGTGGGCATGCCCTAGCCCGCTTGCCTAGCCCCCATATATATAGAATATTGATAATATTTCATAGATCTTATATTTAATTTTTTTAATGAGAAGATATTATGTTATTTTGATGCAATTTATATATTTTTATTTCAATTAGATGTCGATATAATTTTAAATTGTAATGGACTTAATATAATAGCCTTACTAAAAACTTGTAGTCAGGTTTAACCGTTTAGATCTTGTAGATCTTATATTAATTTGAATAGTTAAAAATCAACCAATGAAGCAAACTAAACAAATTAATTAGAAGAAGAGGAATTATATGCAAGAAGAAGTTAATTACTTAAATTGACATTTAAAATTGTTGTAAACTAAAATTTACCAATTAATTAGAAGAATGAATAGAAACTTTATGTGATATTCAAAGAATTCATACATTGCATTATAAAGATGGAGAGACACAATAAATTTTGTCACCTAACAAGACACAATTAATAATTTACTAATGTTAAAAGAACAACACATTTGTCAAGAAATTATCACTTTTATAATTATTTTTTTCACATTATTAATTGATCAAATGTGATTATAATTGTAGGAATATTGAGTGAAACCATATACAAATGGGTAATAATAGAGAAAATGACTAAATTAAATATAAAAAGCTAAATATGCACATATAAAGTACTTGATATATATGTAAATTTAAAAATATATATGTTATATTATTGATAGATAATAACATATTTTTTATTCAAATAACAGGTAAATGTTAACTAATCACTTTTTTTTTTCACATAAAAGAGTGGAATAATTAATTTATGTTAGATTAAAGTACTTTTTAGTAAGTGATAAGTTTAAGACATATCAATGAGGCTTAAATAACACTATTCTAATTAAAAAAAAAAAAAAAACTGCATTTTTAAAGGTTGGAGATAATTAAGGGCTAGTTCTAAAAGAGTTAAATGGGCAAAATGAAAAAAAATTGGGCTTAGGATAATCTGCACCTGAGATTCCTATCAAATGGGTAATGGGCTGCAATCTATGGGCTGTTGACATGTTATGCCAGTTCGGGGTGGGCCGGGACGGGGAAGGGAGTCACCACGTTCCCACGGGCCATTCTAGGGTTTTCAATTGAGACTTTATCCTTACAAAACCTATTTTATACCAGGAGACTCTGCTGGAGAACGAAAGTCAACCTTGAATATATTATGTTACAGCATACCGTGATCATATAATTCATCAAATTTTCCTTAAAGGATGAGCTAGAAAAAATCAGACATAAACTAAAAACCACGGTTTCCTCACACAATTTCATTTTGCATGTACAAATAAGCAATTCCTAAATTTTTGGTAAGTAATCAAAGAAAAAATCTTTAATTGTTATATTATTCATCCATATTTACTGAGTTGACTTTTTTTAAGCACTCATAATTCATTTTGTATCACGTCACTTTACATATAAAAATTTGTGTATATTTGTCAATAAATTAAGGTCATAATTGTCATTTTCACTAAGCAATTGCCCAAAAGGTCTATCAAACTCATCCTTGGTAACACCTCTTTTTACAGATTTTATGCTTCCCTCTTATAGACATCTTAAATATAAATATTATTTCAACAAACCTTGATCTTATAATTCATTAATTTCTGCTTACCAGATGAGCCAGAAAAATTCAGACATAACATCAAAATTAGCGGTGGCAATATATGGTAGGGTTGAAATCCCTCATAAAATTACGAGTAATATTATGTATACAAATTATTTATACAAACTCCTTCATACAAACTGATGTGTTATTAAGTAAATTGATGAATTTATATATGAAATCACCTTAGTAAATGATAATTAATATGGGTGAATGATGTGACAATAAGAGAGTTGTATTACATCGTTTATATATATAGTTTGCATGTATACCACCACTCTAAAATTGTTGGTTTATAATATTCTGTATGGTATCTCCATGATATTCTCAATTTTTTCTATATGAATGTTGAAAAGTATCTAAGGTTTTGTTTGGTTCACTTTTTGCATTTTTTAGAAATTTTTTTTGAAAAAAGTTAAAGAAAGTTGAATTGGACGGGTATTACGATGTAAGATTTGAAAATTAATAAAAATACCCTCGATGTTTGTTTATTTACTAAACACCCCTATAATAAAACTTTAAAAGTTAACAAAAACACCCCTAACCCACCCATTGAATAATCATAGCCGGCCACCACCGCCAGAAGATGACCGGTGGATCTGGCCAGCAAAGGCCAGATCTACGGCTAGATCTGATCTGGCCATTGACGGCCAGATCTGGCCGCATTTGCTAGTCAATGACGGCCAAACATACGGCCGTCGTTGATGGTCAACAACAACCATATGTTGGTTGTCGTTGACGACTGGTTACGGCCAAAGATCTAGCCGTCAACGGCTAGATCTTTGGCCTTAGATCTGGCACGAAAAAAGCTAAATCGGCGCACTACCGGCCAGATTCAGCTGGTAGTGCGCCAATATACTAGATTCCGGTCATCTTCCGGCAGTGGTGGCCAGAATATGGTAAATATGGGTTGCTAGGGTGTTTTTGCAATTTCAAAAAAAATATTTAGGGGTATTTAATTAAATTAATAAATTTAGGTGGTTTAAAAAAAGTTGAAAAATATTGAATAATATTGTGAGTTTTTTGTAATTTTACTGTTTAACTTTATTGGGAATACTACCAGTAATATTCCCAATTGTGAGCCAAACGAAGCCTAAATTTTGTCTATTTCTATATATGCGACAACCACACTACATACACAATTATCATGGATGTGAGGCCAAAAAGAGCCTTTATCAAACACTAATTACCTAGAATTAGAGCAAATCAATTATCTAAACTACATCTTCATATGCTTCCAATTCCAATTAAGATGGGCTTAATTATTGACAGGCACGGCCCCCTAAGTTTAGATGAGCTTTTCATTTATGGATCTTGGTCCAAAGTGACCAGTACTTGGAGGTAAGGGTACATACATCCCTGGTAACACCAATGTAATAAAACTAAACGAGGGAAAAACTTTTGTGTATCTGAAGCATGTATTATAAGTCGTTTTATTTTGAAACACAAGTCGGTTCAAATTTCTCTCTGAGCAATATATGGTATGTTTTAATAAGATGTTTATATGTGTTATGTCTAAAAAATCAGGGCTAACGTAGACTTATATCAACGAGGACCAATCAGA